GAATGTAAACCCACTTTACAAACGGGGACTCTACTAAAATGTCTTAATATTTATCACAAAAACAAAAATATAATAAAAAAAATCAAAAATTAAGGTTGGTATTAATATTTAAAAATTAAATTGCTATCTTCATTGTTGTTAACTTCGGATTTAATGTTTTTTATTCTAACTTTTTTTGTTTTTTGAGATAACTGCGTCATGTTTGGACTCATTTTAAAGGTTGTTTAACGAAGATGACAAATATGTCAAAATTGACGTTGACGTTTCAAACCGGAAGTGATTGTATTTCCATTAATATTAAAGTTAAATATGTCGAGTTTGGACTCATTTTAAAGGATTTTTTATGAAGTTAATAAATATGTCAAAGTTAATAATCTTCTGAAAGCATTAAATAGTCTTTCCAATGATATTTAGCATTCTGAAAGTAGTTAATAATCTTTTGAAAACAGTGTCTTGTCTTTCCAAGCAGATAATAATTTAGTTTTCTCCAAGCAGGTTGTAATCTTTTCTAGTAGTAAAAATGGAAGCAGTATTTCGTCTTTCCAAACAGTTTGTAGTTGTTTATTAGCACTGTCTAGTCGTCTCCAAGCAGATTCTAATCTTTTCATTTGATTACGTTTTAATTAAGGCTTCTTACACGATTAAGGTTTTATTAAGGTCAACTTTTTGAATATCAATATTTTGAGTATATTGGGTTGCCTATACATATAAACATAAATAAACTTTGTAGAATTTCTGACACATTATTCTGTTTTACCTGTAAAAGGAGACAAAATCTTGGCGAGGTGTTTTGCTATCTGATGGGTAGGATAATTTATGGTACTGACAATAAGGCGGAGTGGGACATCTGGTTTATGGATCTTAGATAACCCATATATTCATAGAGGTAGATTCCTGTAGATTTTATCAATTTTTTCATTTTTCTTCTTATCTTCTCGTTTAGATCCTTTTTTTAATTTCTTATAGGTGACTCCTACTTATATGTATATAAATTTTCAAATATGTAAATTGTGTTGCCTATAACCTCAAAAACAAAATCAGTATAGCGCCATCTGGAGAAAACCGCGCAGAACTGTCACCNATTGTAATCCGCATTTGATTTTAGAGCACATAAAATTTGTAAAAAAGGTGCGGATTACATTCGAGAAAATACGGTATTTAGGTTAGATTTTTTTATTTGTCTCATTTTTAGTCTTTTCATCATTATAGTCTAAAATTCGTTTTAATTAAGGCTTCTTACACGATTAAGGTTTTATATCTTCTACATCTTCGTACAAAAATAAACATTTAATTAACTTTTTCGAATATCAATACTTTGAGTATATTGGGTTGCCTATATATATATATATATATATATATATATATATAAACATAAATAAAATGTGTAGAATTTCTGACACATGATTCTGTTTTATCTGGAAAAGGAGAATCTTTGCGAGGTGTTTTGCTATCTGATAGTTAGGAGAATTTATGGTACTTACAATAAGACATCTCATTTATTAATCTTAGATAATTCTCTATTGTCGTGTCAAAATTCTTGTAGATTTTACCAATTTTTTCATTTTTATTCTTATCTTCTCGTTTAGATCCTTTTTTTAATTTCTTATAGGTGACTCCTACTTATATGTATATAAATTTTCAAATATGTAAATTGTGTTGCCTATAACCTCAAAAACAAAATCAGTATAGCGCCATCTGGAGAAAACCGCGCAGAACTGTCACCATCCTACCGAGATTTAAGAGTGGGGCCAAGAGAGAATCGAACTTCTTGAGAAGTTGTTGGTTTCTTAACCGAAGCGAAAACGGCCAACTCTCGCGTCGGTAAGGTTAGGTTTCCAATTACTTTCCTAAATAAACGGCAAACGTGAACGAAAACCTTTAAAACGGTTTCAATCGCCCAAAATAAAAGTGGTTTCACTTTAATTTAAAACTTTTTAAAAAAATGGTTTGTTAGTTTTCGGTTTTCGTCGGGTTTTGATGGAATTTATTGCAGTTCTTTCGTGTTTTGTTCGATGGTGAGTGTGTGTGCGTTCAGATTTAAATGCCTTCGGTGACGTGCCATAAGTTACTACTAGTTTTGTTAAGTTTTAACGGGTAAAGAAAAAGAAATGGAGAATTTGGCGAATAATAATAGCTTATTGAATAGTTTACCCGAGGTAAGATTCTTTTTACCTGCTCTTTTCTTTTATTGCATTCCTTTATATGTGTTAGTATTAATATTAAAGTAGTCTTACATTGATAAGAAGAAAACAATCGATTTATTTTTGTTTCGCTTCATTCTTGTTTCCGATCGAGATATTTCAGGGTCGCGTTTAATTAGAATTTCAAATAACTCCCTCCAGATTGTAAATAAATCATAAAGACATCTTCAGGAGCTCCCCACTAACAATTTTTTTTTAAATTAAGTTTAACGAACCGATACTTTTCGTTCGATTTGTACTCGAAATCTAATTTAATGTAATTACGAATTGCAGCGGCGTTTTACCGTTTTGCTTTCGAAAACGTGTCGCAACGAGCCCCATTTTATTTTTCTTTTACTTTAACAACTTTACGATTAAGCAACAAGTGTATAATATAATATAAAACACAAAAAGTGCATTTATAATCATAAATAAACTTTGATTGCTTTGTTTGTCGTTAAAGCAACAAATCTATCATCGTTTTTATGTTGTTATGATGTACGGTGGTAATCAAAAGTAAACAAACGTCAACGTCATCTTTTAAAAATAGTTTGTGGTTTTTTCTTTTTAACGTTTTGAAATTATCGATTAAAAGGTGCAACGAACGTTTGTTCCCCTTTTACGTAATAAAATTAAATTAAGCCTCGAATCCACTTTACTGCCGAGTAAACAGAAACGGGGGGCGAAAGCGAGTCGCTCGAGTTAGGTGCACCGCGTTCCGGAAATAGTCTCACAAGAATGTAAACCCACTTTACAAACGGGGACTCTCTCGTTATCTGTATGTATTTTCTACGGCAGCAGGTACGTTTTAGAAAATCACGAGTTGTATAGAAAAATTTTTTTTTAAACATCTGTGTGTCGCAAGGTGATTTACCAATAGAATCGATGCATATTTACCTTTCTACGTGTATTACTCACGCTAAAGAATGACTTAATTATCTCTACGATCGAACAAGGACAACTATTTTCTTTGTAAACGATCAGGTAGAGAAAGACGGATTTAAATTTTTTTTAAAAAATATTATTTTAAAATAACAATAATAAACTAAAATAGATCCTGACATCGTCTCCAACAACTAAATTCTCAGTGCCCTACCATATTTAAGTAGTAAAAATTTTATCTTCTAATTTACCAATTATATTGGCCGTTTCGGAGAAAACCAATTGCTCAAATGTCCCCCATACATATAAATGTAATTGTTTAAGGTTAGGAGTATTTAGTTATTTTTTTTTTAATGTTTTTCAAGGACATCAAAAATGTTCGAATATTGCTGGAATATCTCCATATGTCTTAATCTCTACCAGAAAATGAGATTGTGCCGATTTGTATATAAAATATTATCGATTAATATATTTATTAAGCCGAGATTGCTTCCGAGCGAAGCGCTACATCAATACTATATTGATATAAAACCATACAATTTTCAAGAAAATATATTATATGAATTACATTGGTGCCATTTTGACACAAAGCTATACCATTTTCAACGGTTTATATACTAATTAAGCCGAGGTTGCTTCCGAGCGAGGCGCTACATCGATAC